AATAATATATAAATAATATTTAATGTTTTTAAAAATTTTTAACTTTTTTAAAAATAATAAAGTTATTAAAATTAACGAATTTTTAATAATAATTAATATATTAAAATATTATATTTATAAAAAAATATTATTATTAAAAATAAAAATTTAATTTTTAATTTTTAATTTAAATAAATTATTATTTTTATAATTTTATATAATTAAAATTATAAGTAAAAGTAAAATAAATAATATTAATTAAGTTAAAAATTTTTATTTTATAAATTTTATAAATTTATTTTTATATATTTTATTATTAAAATTTATTAATATTATATATTTCGGTATAATTATATTAATAAATAACTTGGTTAAACTTTAATATAACGTATATTAAACGGGATTTATTTATATAATATTTAGTGAATTTATTTATTATTTTAACGTTAAAGGTTAAAATAAAAACCCGATTTTTTTAAGTAATTTCGTGGATTTTAAATATAAATAAATAAATTATTTTTATTAAAAAAATAAAATAACATTATTTAATATAATATATATTATCCATATAAAATAAATTTTATAAATATACCGCGATAAATATAATAATTTATAAAAATTAAATAATTTAACCGTATTAAATAATATTATTAATAAATATTATAATTAAATTATTTTTATTATTAATTAATTATAAGAAAATAAATTATTAATAAAAACCATTTAATAATATAAAATTAAAATTAAAATAAATTTTATTACCATTAATAATTTATTATTTTATAAATTTATTTTAATTTTAAATTTTATAAAATATATAAAAAATAATATAGTTTTAAAATATAAAATTAATATTAATTTTAATTACGTTTTTAAAAATTATTATCGATTTAAAAATAATGTTATATTAATAATAAAAAAACGATTTATTCGCTAAATTTTTTAAATAAAACATTTAATATATTTATTAACATATAAAATTTCTTTAATTTTTAAAACATTAAAAATGGAAAAATTTAATTAAAATAAAATAATTATATAATTTATTAAGTTTAAAAAAGTTCGGTTTTTATTATTATTAATTTTTATAAATAATTTTAAATTATATTAAGTTATATATAAGTTTTTAATAAATATATATTTTAAAGTTATTTATTTATTAAAAAATAAATGTAAATGTTAAAAAAATATTTTTTTTTTTATTTTAAGTTTTTATAAATTTAATTTATTTAATATTATAAAAATATTAAAACCGATAATAACATTAAATAAAGGGTTTTTTATTAATATTAATAATAAATTTTTTATTATATATATTTTTATTTTAATTTTTATTAATAATATATTATAATAATAAATAAACTTTAATATATTTAATATAATAATAAATAAAAGTTATAAATATTATAAATACGAAATTAAAAATAAAAGAAACTTTTTTTTTAATATTATTAAATATTAATATAAATATATTAATGTTTAATATTAACGTTATTATATAAAATAAATGAATATAATTAATAAAAAAAAATATTTATTAATATATAACTTTATTTTTAAATTATTTATTATTATATACATTATATTAATTTTAAATATTATTTAAAGTTATTTAAATAATTTAATTTATTCGGAATTTAATAATATTTTTAAAATAATATATTAATTATTTATAAATTAAGTTTAGTTTTATTTTTTTAGTTTTTTTTTTTATTATTATTTAAAATTAATATTATAAAAATTTTTTAATTTAAAGTAATAATAAAATATTATTAAATGTTTTAATAAATAAATTTTTTTTTTAAATAATAATTTATTTTATTTTTATATTATATATTAATATATAACTTTTATAAACATATTTATTAAATTATTTTAATAATTATTTTTATTCGTTATTAATTTTATAAACATTATATAAAAAATACGTTTATTTATGTTTTTAAAAAAGAATTTTATAATAATATCCATAAAAAAAAATTCGAATATAATGTTATAACCGTTAATATTTTTATATATATTTTAATTAAAACCGTTTATATTAATAATTTATTTACCGAAAATAAAATATATTTAAAAAACCGAAACTTTCATATATTTATAAAGATAATTATTTTTAATTACCGCTTATTTTAACGGTTTTATAAAATAATAATTATTATATTAAATAAAATAAAATAAAAAAATTATAATAATAATATTTAAATAATTCCATGTATTATTCGTTATATTATTTAAATTTAAAGTTTTTTTAATAATTTTAATAAATTTATTAATAACGTTAAACTTTTAAATTTTTATTAATAAAACATTAATATTATTATTAATAAAATAAAATAAAATAAAAAATAATATTAACGTCGATTATTTATTTATAATATAAAAAATAATTAAATATAAATAATAAATTTTAAAATTTAATATATATATTAAATTACATTATTTAAAAATATTTAAATAATATAACTTCGTTTCGTTTTTAATAATTTTATTAAAGGAAAAAAAACATAAATAAATTTATTTATAATTTATTATCGATTTATATAATATATTTATTAAAATATTTTATAAGCTTTAAAAAAATTTTATCGATCGGATTAATTATTATAATTTAAAAAAAGATTTTTTTAAATATAAAAATTTAACGTAAACGTTATAATTAATTTTTATTAATAATTTTTAATATAATAAATTTAATATTATTAAAGTTATTAAACGGTTTAATAAAATAATATTAATTATATTCGTAATATTATTACTTTTAAATTTCGAAAATAATATTAAAAATAATAATAATTTTTTAATAATAATTTTAATTATCGTTAATATAAAATATTATTAATTAATTATTTTAATTTATATTAAATTAATATATTATAAATAAGTTTTAAACTTTTTTATAAAAAAAAAAAAATATTAATATTATTTTATATAAAATTATTAAAAATATATAATTTTAATTATAATAAATTAAACTTTTTTATTATTAATAATTAATTTATTAAATAATAAAAAAAAGTTTTTTTTTCGGATAAATACGCATTATTAATTTAACTTTAATTTTATTTTTATTAAAAATATATAACGTTTATATTATAATATTAATATAAAATTTAATTTTTATTAAATTATTTTTTAATAAAGTTAATATATTATTTATCGTAATAATTATAAAATTTAATTAAATTATATTTTTATTTATAAAATATTTTCGGATTAATTTATTTTTATATTTTTTTTATATAATAAAAACGTTTAAACTTAAATTAAATTAATATTAATTATTAAATTTAATTTACACGTAAATTATAATTTATAAATAATTTAATGTTATTAATTTTAATTATATAATAAATTCCGGATCGTTATATATATTTATAATTATAATTTTAATAATAAAAATTTTTAACCGTAAAAATTTTTTAATTAAACTTTTAATTATTATTATAATAACCGAAAAATTTATTATTAACGTAAACGATATTATTAATATTTATTAAGAAATTATTAAACTTTTTATTTTAAAAAAAAAAAACTTTTATATAATTTTTTTTAAAAAAATATTAAATAATTAAAATATAATAATAAATTTATTAATAATTATAACCGAATTATTTTAAATTAATTAAAATATATATTATTATTAATAACGTTTATAATAATATTATATTTAATTTAATACGTTTTATTTTTTAATTTTTTTAATTTTATTTAATATAAAATTATTTTTAATATTTTTTTTTATATTTTTAAAATTTTTTATTTTAATATATTTTATTTAATTTTTTATATATTTTATATTTTTTATTACCGTTTTTTTTTTTTTTTATTATATAATTATTAATATTATTCCGAAAAAATATATTAATATTTTAATTTTATATTCGGAATATTTAATAAAATAATATATTATTAATTATTATTTTATTAATATACGTAATTTATAAAATAAATAATTATTTATAATATATAATTTATAATTAATATATATATATATATATATAATTATATTTAAAATTAATAAATTAATTTAAATAAATTTAAATAAATATTAAATAATTTAATTTATATTTAAATAATTTATTAATTTTAAATTATTTAATATTTAAACGTTTAAAAATTTTAAACGTTTAATTAAAAATTAAATAATTATTATTATAATATAAAAATTTTTAAACGTTTTAATTTAAAATTATTTAAAATTTAAACGTTATAATTTAATTAAATTATAAAAATAAAATTAATAATTAAATATTTTTTATTTAAATTATTTTATATTTATTTTTAAGCCGTTTAAATTTTAAATTATATATTTATTAAATATATATAATTTATTTATATATTAAAAAATATTAAAAAATAAATGTAAATATTTAATAAATTATATTTATTAAATATTTATTAAATTTATATTAAACTTATTTAATAATTTAATAATATATTATATTTACATTTTTTAAAACCTTTAATTTTTTATTTTAATATAATATATTTACATAAAAAAAATTAAAATCGATTAAATTTAAGACCATTAAATCCGCGACACATTATTATAAACTTATAATAACTACGCAAGTACTTAATTACCTAAGCAGATTTAAAATTTTAATATAAATAATAGGATATTCTAGGATATTCGATAGGATACATGAACATTTAATCTTAGTTGTTTTAGTTGTTCAAAGCCACGGTGCGTGTCATAACCCACTTAGGTGAATGTGTTGTCGTTCAATGAATGTTGTTCTATTGCTGGCCTGATGAGGGGCAAATCGCTCCCGTTGGTCAGTGCCCGACAGAAATGGAGAATGAAGTAAATACAGTGCGAGAACTTTCAATCTGCACCGTCTTCGCATGTCCTCGCATCCCAGAGCGATCCCGGTTGGGTATCCACTTTATACTATGTACAAAGATACATTATCCTGGTGTGGTGTGCAGCACGGACACACACTTAGACATCCGATTACAGTCTTTAGCTTCGGCCAAGTAGCTACCTAGGTACGTTCTGTGTAGTATCATGCGTATTAGTGGATACCTCAGCGACTTCCCCTCCACGATTGGCCGCTTTCACGACTTTTGGGCTGGGTATCTGGCTGGGCGGGTGGTGACTGCTGCAACAATCTCTCCACTCACGCCAGAGAGTCAGACCAAACTTTCTTAATACACTATCTTTTTTTGCCCACTTTCCCTAGCAGTTTATCGTCCGGTTCATTCATCATCGTCCCATTCTGCGACGAATCATTCTAATTCCTTCTTATTACCACTTTTCCTTGTTGGACTTTGTTTTTTGGACGACACCGGCGACGACTTGATCATCTAAACCCACATCACATCACATCCCACTTTGCATCACCGCCATAGTGCAAATCCAGATTGACGTCGTCTTCTTTTTCGTCCAGCGTCTAGTTCAGTGTACCTGTACCTGTATCCGTACCCGTACCCGGTGGACGATTATGTATCATATCCAATTCGAACCCACAGCAATGGCCGCCTGAGATCCGGTTTCCCTACTCTTTACTCTTGTCCGTGAGGGCCAAGCGACGACATGCTTCGACACTCACCCGGAATGATGACTACAATACCTCCTAAGCCACCTAAATACTCCCGCCAATACTCCCGCCGCCATGGATACGCAACAACCACCACCGTCCCAATCCCCTCACCCTCCTCACCTCATTACCGATCCCAATAATCCTGCTTTCCCCTCCGTTCCTTCTAGAACCGCCAGCAGCACTCCGATTTCCTCCCCGGGTCTGTTCAGTCCTACGATCCCTCGTCCTAATGTCTTCCTGGCACATTCCGCCTCCGATGCCTCTACGCCGGCGGTCACCATGGCCAGTCCCTACCTGCACCCATTGCAGAATCATAGAGTTCGAGAGTAAGTCTCGCTCTTGTGACCCCGTGTGAATAGTACTACGGCTACGTGCTATATGCTATGTGCTCCTAGAGAATGTGTTGTTGAGCACTATAGCCTACCTAAGCCAAAGCCAAGCTAAAGTTGATCACCGATTGTCTTTATTCAAGCATATCATACGTCGTCTGCTCGGTACTAATGAACTTTCTCGAATGTAGGACGCACAAAGCCCTTGTTGACCTGGACCTTATGACGGGACGAAAGATCATCAATCAGTACGAAGTGATTGAAGAACTAGGTCGTGGTGTTCATGGCAAGGTCAAACTAGCTCGGAACCTAGAGACTGGCGAGAATGTTGCGATCAAGATCATACCCAGATTCTCTAAGAAACGCCGTCTGGGTAAGGTCACCGCATCCCCCCAAGACAAAACCAAAAGAGAGATCGCTATTCTGAAAAAGATTCGCCACCCCAATGTCGTCGCTCTGCTCGAAATCATCGACGACCCAGAGTTCAAGAAGATCTATATGGTCTTGGAACATGTAGAATTGGGAGAGGTCATCTGGAGGAAGAAGGGCTTGCCCTACATCTGCAGCATCGAGAGGAGGAGGATTGAGAAAGAGATGCGTGGAGAGCTAAGCACCGATGAGGAAGAGCGTTACATCCAGCTTCTCGAAAGGCGTCAGGCTCTTAATGACGTGAAGAGGGCGAAGATGCAGCAGAGTCAGAAGGGGCCAGACGACTTTTGGAGCATCGAATATGGTGCCGCAAATGACGACGACTCGGAGGGCCACTCGCGCTCTTTAGGAAGAAATGGAAGTGGGTTCCTTCAATCTGGCCGTGCAGTGTCATCGGTTTCAAGGACTGGGTCGAGGGCTACGTCTCCAGCTCGTTCACACGCCCAATCTGCTCCATCAGGTTCCCGGGCCAGCACTCCCCTTCCATCTGAATATGATGTCTCCTCAGTTGGCGCGGACGCTGAGAGTGTCATAGAGACTCCTGGGCCCCTGCGCTCCCAACCTGGATCCTCCTCCGCTCTTGACAGGACATTGACTAGTGCTTATCCGGAGGATGCCATGTTTCGTGGTCGATCGCCGAGTATGGCCGACTCGATCATCTCCCATATGTCGTCGGTTGATTGTAATCCACAACCTCACGACCCCTTCGCCGACGACTTTTCCTACGTTCCTTGCTTCACCATCGACGATGCTCGTGCCACGTTCCGGGACACCGTGCTCGGCTTAGAGTACTTGCACTATGAAGGCGTAGTCCATCGTGACATCAAGCCTGCTAATCTCTTATGGACTAGAGATCACAGAGTGAAGATCTCTGACTTCGGAGTCTCTTACTTTGGTCGGCCAATTCGCGAAGGCGAACAGGATGAGCTCGTATCGGAGTCCGAAGCTCGTGATTTTGACGACGACCTCGAGCTGGCCAAAACTGTCGGCACACCGGCTTTCTTTGCGCCAGAGTTATGCTACACGGACCTAAGCGTCGAACAACCAAAGATCTCGGAGCAAATTGACGTCTGGTCTTTAGGAGTAACACTCTACTGTTTGATATTTGCTCGGATTCCTTTTATGGCTGAGGACGAATGGCAGATGTTTCAGAAGATCGCTAAGGAAGAAGTGTATATACCACGCCGCCGACTAAGACCCGTCGACCCACAACATTCGCCGCAATCGACGTCATTATATAAGCGTATCAACAGCGAACCGTACCGAGACGACAGCGTCCTTGCTTACGAGGAAATTGATGACCTACTTTACGATCTTCTGCGCCGCATGCTGACTAAGAATCCCGAGAAAAGAATACGACTAAGAGAGGTGAAGCGTCACCCGTGGGTTCTTCAAGGGATACCTAACATCATCGCATGGATTGACGAAACAGACCCATCACGCCGTACTTCTGGCCGCAAGATCGAGGTCGATGAACGCGAGATCACTCGTGCCGTCGTGCCTCTCACTTTCCTCGAGAGGGCTCGTTCAGTCGTGAAGAAAACGATCGGAAAAGTAATGCACCCACGTACCGAAAGGGCGGAAGTTCCGTCGAGAAGAAGAGCAGCTAGTAGCGCTGCTAGCTCCGCGGGAGATACGCCCCCAAGTATACCGCCACCGCATGTACGAGACACACGCCGAAAAAGTTTACGGCCTGACGATTATTTTGCGACTGTCAGAGAGAGTGATCATCCCCTATCACAAAGTGTTACTGCGAGTCCTCAGGAGTCGCCTGTCTATGATAGGCCAGATTCCGCCCAACAACGTGGCTCGACCTTGGTAGGCGGAGATTTTAGACGTAACGCGAGCTCCTCTGTTGGCGATTTTAACACGCAATCAGATCTGGCAGGACCGCCGTCGGCATCGGCATCGTTATCATCGATCAGGGGACATTTAAGTTACCGTCATGGTCGAACAAGATCAATCACCAACGCCATACTTGCCCTTGCACCTCAGAAAGAATGGCAGACAACCCCGAACACTCCCGCGCTCGAAACTTGTATCAGAGATGACCCGATTGCTTCCTTGCGAAAGGCTAGAGATGTAGAATCCACGGACGACTCATCGCGTTCGAGATCTGTCGATCGCGGATTGTTCGGCAATAGCGACAAACGCGCCGAGGCGAAAGTTGCTCTCAGCACAGCTGTAGCCCCAGGGAATGTAGAACTTCCCAAACGCCCGCTCTCAGTCCATCCTCCAGACACAACGTCTCATACCCTCCAGGATGCGGCAGCAGCCCTACCTTCTCCTATGTTCTTCTCTCCTCGGGCAGTTCGCACTTATCAGCATCGCCAACCAAGTTCAGACCCGAATATGCACGAGACCCATATGGGTGCTGTCGAAATTGATCAGCGACCTATGACAGCTCACCGGGCTATACAGATAGAAACTCGAACCCCGCCTCCAAGAGTGTACAATTCGTCCACGCCCGAATCATTTGCACGAGCGCATGAACAGATGGCCCGCCGGCGACAGCGGGAAGATGAGGAACAAGCGAAACGTGAAAAGCTACTCGCATCTCATCGCAGGGGCAGCAGTTCTACCTATATGTCTTGCCCTCCTTCGCCCGATGATGAACTTTCCTTAGATCATCCCCCATCTCTGTCCAGGGGTGATCCGGGCACCGCTGCCACGTCGGCTTCGGCATCCACAGGGACCATCATGACTCCGCTGACTAGCCCAAGTGAATCAGCGAGTCCTATTAGCCTTGGAGATATGACAGAACACGGCGAGGATTCACAGATCTTTCGCTCAGATCCGTCGCTGCCGGCGTTACTCAGCGGTGCTAGTTCGATTTCTGCTGATGCCGAGGGAGAATTTCTTCTTAAGCCAGGCTCTCTTGACCGGCCTTCCCTTATCGACACAACTGATTCTTTGACCCCACCGGCTCTCCACAAAGAACCCATCTCCGGGTTCCCCCTGGAAGAGGATGAGCATTATCAAACATTATTACTACCTCAGCCGCAACGCGCTTTAGCCACATCGTCTTTTTTGACCACGAGAGCTATCGATGACGACGATGGAAGCGACAGCGATGAAGGCCTCGTTATGAAACCTAAAAAGCGGAATCCGGTCAAGGACAATGCTAGCTCGCCGCTAGGCAGGACAATGTCTGCGAGAAGGCGAGACACCCAAACCAGCATCGGTAGCACTGAGACGGCCAAGAAAGTAGTCATGCAAAGCCAATAGGTGGCTTTATTGATTGCTTTAGTCATGATCTCTCCATTCCACTGCCACAGGACCCTTATTATCATTAACTTCCTCCCGCACATATTGCGGAATCCATAAAACTGGGACAACCAGTTAAACACAGAATAGCATACCTTAAGGGCTTATCTGTGGCCCCTTCGGCTCTACCACTACATATCGTACAAGGAAGCCGCAACCACTTAGCTTCTGGCCCGGCCTGAAGAATATTCACCTACCCATCCATACGGCTTATGATCGAAGCCTCGGCTTAGATATAAAGCTTTGAAGGTCGTCAAATCGATACCCATTACCTTATTAACGACCGAACTATTTACCTTGACGGATTAATCACCTCTCTTGTTCGGGAGAAAGTGTATAACATGAAAAATTGCTTAATTTGGGACGACGGAGTCTAGCGGCGATACGAATGGGATTGAGCACGATGAGACGATGATGGGACGAGACACGAACATGTCAGCGATGTTAAGTTTCTTGTCCATCCACACAAACACGGACACTTGTCGTTAGATGTGGACTTACCATCCGACAAAATTGAAGAGATGAATACCACATATTCCGATGTGCGGGTTCTACCATCATGAAGGAAGCTCTTGATTCTGCTCCCTTGGCGTGCTCTGCACCCATTATTGCTTCGCCCTCTAGCTACTAGACACGGAGAGGAATCTTTGGTGTTATTGCTTTTTTTTTCCTTTTTTTTTCTTAAGCTGGACATAAAAACTTTTTTTTCTTCCAACGGAGTGGCTTTTGTTGTTTTTCCTATTATCTGGTAGCTACGCAAACGAACCTTGAAAAAAGGGAGGGTTCCCGGAGGAATGGGAACGGTATCATATTTTTCTGGAACGGTGGCAAATCTGTTTTTTCGAGCGTGCTGATAGACCATAATTTGATATGCATCCCAATGGAGTTTCTATGGGTAACCTTCTTCAAAACAATACTCTTACATTGCTATCCTCGTTTACCACGAACATGTTATTGTATCTGTGAATATGAGTATATTAAGTAGCAGTGTTCTATAGATATTTTACGTTGAAGACGGCCGAAACGACGGCTTTCGAAGGGTAATTCTGGTTGTGTAATGATGTTGTGTGCTACCCCCTTCTCTTTCTTTCTACTTAGGAATTGTGTGAAGCGGGATATAATGTGGGTAAACTGACAGCAGTAATGCTAGGTAAGGCAACCGGCTCTTCACACACCGAACGGATACGTCTCCCCCTTGGAAATGGCCTCCTTCGGCTGCGCGGTCTCGAAGGCGTGGACGGCGGTCGTGCGGTCGAACCACACGAAGGCGTCGTACTGCTCGGAGAGGATGGTCTCGATGTAGTGGCTGTACCGCTCGGTGGCGGGGCGGTAGATGACGCCGATGAAGCGCTGCAGCATGGGCGGGGTCTCGAGGCGGCGCATGTCGACGAGGAAGGACGGCAGCCCCGTGTCGTGCAGCGCGCGCTCGTAGCTGTCCGGGCGCGAGGGCACGACGTCCATGACCCGCATCGGCTCGTCCCACTCGTGCGCCGCGGCCACGGTGCCCGCGTGCGTGCCGCACCCGATCACGGAGACCTGGCCGGGAAAGGCCTCCCGGCACAGCTGTCCTAAATTCAACTCGCCGCGGTCCTGGCCGTTGCTCGAGGCGCGCGCGTCGCCCAGGTGCGAGTTGTGGGCCCATACCACGGCCTTGGAGCCGGGGGACAGTTTTAAGAGGCGCGATAGCACGGCGAACATGTGCGCGTCGCGCACGTTCCACGACGAGGAGGCGGCCTCGTACATGGCGCGGTAGTACCGCTCGGCGTCGCGGACGACGCGCGCGTTCATCTCGGCGTCCAGGAAGGCCTCGCCGTTGTCCGGGTGCGAGGCTAGTTTTAGTCGTTCCGCGAGTAATTGCGTTAGCATTGCGACGGCGCCTGGCTCGCAGGCTGCGGTGCGCGAGTGTGCGGATGCGAGGCCGTATGAGGATGGGTCCTTGAGCCACGGGACGAGGCATGAGTACCGCTTCCGCGCGTCGCTGGCGAGCGAGGGGTCCACGCGCTCGAGATACTCGAGAACGGCGCGCACGGAGGCGCTCATGCTGTAGAGGTCTAGGCCGTTGAAGGAGGTGCGCTCGTGCTTGGGCAGGCGCGCGTTGTGATCGCGCAGCCAGTCTATGAATTCTTGGACTTCGGTGTTTCGCCACATCTACGATACGTGGTTAGCATAGAAGATGTTTCGTGGTGGTGACTGTTAAGGGATACTAGCTCATACCCAGCGCGGAAAGTGGTCGAAGACGCGGATGGGAACGTCTTTCGACCGCCGCGAGTGCTGGCGCACGTAATGATCGATGGAGCGGGCGTCCGGCCAGTCGCATTCGACGGCCACGTGGGTGAACCCGTGCTCCTCTATCAAGCGCTTCGTGATGGCCGCGCGCGCTCGATAGAACTCAGATGTGCCATGGCTATAATAGAGTGTCAGTAAAATATTACGTCATCTCACCAATGATGACCGGAATAGGGGTTACACTGGGTCCCGGCAGATAGGTGGATAGGTTGAGTTCACTAACCTTCCGTCACCAATAAGAACTAGGCGCGAGTTTCCAAAGACGTCGAATTTAGCACCGAATTGGTTGCTTTCGATTGGTGGAAGCTCTTGCGCCGCACTTTTAAAGAGCTCTGAGAGTCCAGATGCCATTTTTCTGCGGAGTCGAAATATCATTCGGGTTTTAGTAGCGAGGAATCTTGTTTTCGCTTTGATGTGCCAATACTTATTGTAGCTTTATTGATACGTTTTAAGTCTACGCCTGACTTGATTCGAGTTAAAGGTTGGGAATGTTTGGTAAGACGGCAGCATAATTGTTATATCTAAGATTCACTTGTGGCGACTTACATCACATTTCGTCATATTGGCAATCCAAACTTCCTAGATCCAATCAATATCCTCCGAATTGAGGAAAGAGCAACTTAATTCTTATATGAGAGTTATGATAAAGCACTTGCTTATGTAATGGCTGTTATAGACACTTCAATACGTTAGAATGAAAAAGGGGCCATAGGGAGTCGTGTTACCAGAAGGGATGACACGCTAGTAACATTTAATAGTTATCACATATAATATATTATTTATCTCAATCATGGAGCCATTATCAGATTATTGTTTAATCAGCTTTCTCATGATTAAGTGCAATAAAAAGGTTGGAATAGCCCTCAACAACACAGGGGTTACTACGAAGAGCAAGGCCAAGTTTCTGGTGATTGGGAGAAATTTTATCAGTATATTATGGTTGAGGCTATCCAAGGCTTACATATTCAACTAGACATATTCTTACCTATACTTTTGTTGCTTTGATGCCTGCCTCCTATCCAAGCTGACATTGAAACCCATTTCCAGTACAGAAGTCTCTTCCTCATCTAGTCTCCATTCGGAAATAACACTTCCAACATCAATACACGGAACGGTCCACCACCCTCATAAATAAAAATATACCAGAAGGTATCGAAATCATTTATATTTACCTTCAGAGAGATGTCTCAACACATGCAGGAAATGCAAAAATGTGCAGCGTGTATGGACACAATGCGCGTTATCGACTTAACACGAGCACCTTGTGGACATGAGTACTGTCAGCTATGTCTAAGCCAGCTATTTATGACCGCAACCGAAAACGAGTCCCTGTTTCCACCGCGGTGCTGTCGACAGGAAATTCCCCTTGACCCAGATAACAAGTTTCTTAGTCCCTGGTTAATTCGTCATTTCCGTGCCAAAGCCAGGGAATATAAAGATCCCCAGAGAACGTACTGTCACAATCCAGCCTGCTCGACTTTTATCCCTTTCTTCCGGTGGAAAGGCAACCTCGCCAAGTGTACCGAATGCTCTGCGAAGACATGTACCTTTTGCAAAGGAGAATATCATGACGGAGACTGCCCCTTCGATGAAAATCTCCATAAACTTCTCAAGCTTGCTGACGAAAAGCGATGGAAACGATGTCCAGCGTGCCAGACGATGGTCAAACGCAATGAGGGCTGCCAACACATAACGTGAGTGTTTTCCACGGACTTATATCACGATGCTAATTTATTTATAGTTGCCATTGTCATGCAGAGTTCTGTTATGGCTGCGGATTGTTCAGGCACGAATGTATATGCGACCCAGAGCCTATAAGAGAACCCAGAAGGAGATATAGAGAAAGGCATATATACTACTTAATAGACAGGTTCATAGCTCGCTTTTTGAATGGTTTTCTATAAAGATAGCGAGATCGCGAAACGAAAAGGGGAATAGATTCTCTGTCAGTGGACCGGCAGCATTCTGCATTATCGGCAAATACAGAATTCCTCAGCCTTCTTGAGTCATCCCTTACTCATTGGTACGTCAAAGGTCAACGGAGGGCTCCCAATCTCCTTCTCTCGTCGAAGTTTATTTACTCCGCTGGGCCCAATCAACAATTTCAATTTTTGTTTACCAATGAGGGCCGCGGTAGCTTAATAGGGGTATCAGAATCGGGCGACTCGCCCTCCAGGACCGGCAAAAGCGGATCATGATAATCCTCGGCCGCCCTCCCTTACTGACCGGGGTAACAGCGGCGGTAGTCGCTCATCACGCGTTAGATAAGGACGAAGCGCGTGCGGATGTGGTCGACGGTGGTGCTTCCCCGATCTGTACCAAACTATGGATCTGCGTCAAGTCTCGCCCAATTTAACCACGCCCAATGGCATGTACGCGATTGCCTTGCTCGCAGACTTATAATATATGATGATGGGATGCAGTCCGTGTGCCTGGCTCGCGGCACTTTTTAAAGCCAATAAACACCTAGCAGGGGCATTTGCCGAGAAGCTGTCAGTCGGTCATACCTAAAAATATATGAGATTGCCATATCACCGGATAATATGCCTTCTAAGGTGTGGTCTAGACGTGAGATGATTGGTACCAGACCTACACCATCTAGCCTTCCATTCATCGCCCTCCGCTATCTGATTTGAGGTCTCTCGCTTATAGGAGGCTTATGATAATTTGAAATGAGTCAAATAGCTCTATAGATCCAGACTCGCGTCTCTTTCCCCTTTCCAGATCTCCAACCCCTTATTGCTCTATTGATAATATTGTCGAGGAGAGAGCCTTGCCTCGAAGATGAAGTTGTTCACCGCTACCGCGCTCATCGCGCCCGTCTACGCCGGACTCCGCTTTCCGTGCTCGACGCTGACAATCCAACGCCTTGATCCTGTCGTACAGCCTGGCGAGAGCCCTTCCGCCCACGTCCACCATATCGTCGGTGGAAATGCCTTCAACGCTACCATGACCGGTGACGTCGGTGCCAGGGCTTCCTGCACCACTTGCCAAATGTCGGAGGACTTTTCCAACTACTGGACTGCTCACTTATATTTCAAGCACCCGACCAACGGCTCCTACCACCGCGTACCAGTGGTTCCCGTCCAGCCCCTGCTAGGAGGTTCGAACGGCGCTCAGGGTGGACTTACCGTCTACTACACCCAGTTCGACCTGAGCAGGGACAATCTTGCGCAGCAAAAGATCACAGCTTTCCCAGCGGTAATATCACTGAATCTTCTATCCTAGCACCGTTCACAATTCTAAAACTACGCAGGGGTTCCGAATGACCGTCGGCAGCCCGACCGCCACGAGCCGATCGCACATCGGCCTCAACTACCAATGCATGACGGGAGGCAGCCGAGGTCCTCTGCGGTCCGATTTCCCTGACGCCCCATGCTCGGGCGGGATCTTTACCTCGCACCACTTCCCCGCGTGTTGGGACGGCAAGAACCTAGACAGCCCGGACCACCAGTCTCACATGTACAACACGGTCGACTCTGACTACTTCAACAACGCGCCTCCGTGTCCGGCATCTCATCCGTAGGCAGCTTCTCCTTTTTCCCTTAACGAAGTATGTATATACTAACTTCAACAACAACAGCGTCCGCGTACCCCAAGTCACGTTCGAGACGACGTGGGACACGACCAAGTTCAACAGCATGTGGCCGTCGGGCGCGCCGAACCCGTTCGTCTGGAGCTTCGAGGGCAGCGGGTACGGCACGCACGCCGACTACATGTTCGGCTGGAAGGACGACGCGCTGCAGCGCGCGATGGACAAGTCCGAGTGCTTCTACGACGGCTGCGGTTCTATTACTAAGCAGGCCATGACCACCGCCAACCAGTGCAAGATCGAGACCACGATCGACGAGGAGACGGACGGATGTAAGTTCTTAAGGAATTTTTTTTTTATCTCAGCGAGATCTAGGTAGATGCTGATTAATATGATAGGGCTCGACAAGCTTCCCGGTATGCCATAGGAGGGCTAGGTTGGTAGAGGTTTAGGCGTGGTGGTTGTGGCTATTCGTTTCGTCATTAAGTGTATAAGCTCCGCCAGTCGACCTTGGGGGCGAGAATCGGGTTGGGTTTATTAGTCGTCGAATAATTATACATGTCGTTCTCTACGAATCTGTAGACATTAGATGCAATGGTGACCAGGTGAAACTTAGGTTAACTAGTAGGTAGGTTGTTAGTGTCAACCAAACTGTCTGGCTGAGACGAAAACTTTCATTCACATGACTTCTGATTATTGGAAGTTTACCCCGGACGAAAAAGTGGCTAAGTAGGAAGAGGACCTGAATGAGCTATCGAAATTTGGTTCATTGTAGCTCAGTAGACGAACGCCTGTCGTCATCAGATTAAGACTATTAGCTTGCTGACGAATATGTTGACGGTTGACCAGGCAGCCAGACATCCGAAGTTTATGAATACGACGTAGATGAAGTGACTGAGAGTACCTTGAATTAGGAAATGGACCGCTGGTTGATCTACCCATTCACTAGTAACATTCGTTCATACCATTCCGTATTCGGGATGAGATCGAATGAATGTAATGCCTAAGTAGAAGGATAAGCTCTACACATGTATCCTGCAGGGTTATTGACCAGACGGTGAACAGAGGATGAGGGCGGTCTACGTATCACATTAGATACCTAGAGATGATAGATATTGACTTGAATGATGATACACCCGTCTGATACGATAGCACATGTTTTCGTAATCATAAGGTAGAGTTTGCTTGTTCCAAATCGTTCTCTCAAATCGACTTGCCTGCCAAATGGAGATTCATTTGTAAAGTATTTAAGACATGGTTTCAAGGACATGTGTGATCGTGCGTTGGCAATAGGTACGCCAACATCCGTGCGGTGAGCTTTGCCAAGACATCAAATCTCGCTATCAGACCCGCCGTACCGAACCGTACATTTGGGGAGTACCTAGTGTCCGCTTGTTGGGCAGTGCTAAGGCTTTCGCGACCCGGGGAAGAATTGTTGGTCCCATTTGGTACGTGTCCACTGGTGTCCTATGCCTAAAAGGATCGTGGTTCATGAGATTTAAGGCGTAGTTCCTTCGATGCAATTCCGAATTTCAAGGCGACAGCCTGGCGGTGAGAGATTAGAGGCTGGGATGAGACCCAACCAACCCCCAAATTTAGTGGGATGTGAGATTTCTAGCCAATGAAAGAACAAGAATTCAACCTCCAACCTCAATTATAACCTAGCCGTGCTCGGAGGCCGGTAGACTTTTTGCATGTGTGAATTGGAGGCCGGAGTGGACGGAAGAAGGTAGGGAGTATGTAGAGAGGTCTATAAGAAGCCCAAGACCCTCTCGAACGTCTATGACTGGTTTTTGAAAGATCCAAGGGCATCTTTGCCTTAGACATCATCCATCAAACAACCCACTCTACAACAACTACACACCCTTAATAGCCGTCAAGATGCAGGCCTTCTCCATCGTTGTGGCTATCGTCATGGCCGTTGTGGCTACTGTCTCCACCCCTGCGGAGGCGAGGGTAAGTCTTAAAGTCCCAGCACTGTATATAGACAGCTATTAACTCGTGGACCTAGCAAATGTCGCAAGGCCTAATCACGTCAGCGTGACATTCGGGGTTGGACAGGTTCGAGTTGATCTCGGTTTGCTTCCAAGACCAACACGTGCAGGACCTGTCCGTCTCCATAGCGCAGAAAGGCTACCCCGATATTGGATAACAACGGTATTTCGGGGGGCCGAGGAGTATGCGCATGGAATGAACGAGTTATGAAGACCACTTATGTTATGAACAATCGGTATTTGGCTCAGGAGTTGGACGGACGTTGAGGAGCGTTTTATGAGGACCAGTACTCGGGTCTGGCCACCTGTATATGAGCCACTCATTCCCCAACCACCAAGCGGTGACTATCATCAGGTCGCTGCAGGGTGTGTTAGCAGCCTCTTCAGGCCATTTTCATATGTCCCTTCATCTACCAACGCCTTCTCTATGACCATGTGAAGCCATTCCCTAGTGACCATTATAATACCGTAGCCAACCAATGCGCGAGACCGCTGATAATACACGATGCATGCGATTGTAAAGGATAACCCTCGTCAGACTCGCAGATTGTCGGGCATGGCGCTGTCGCCCCAAATATTCCGTGTTTCCTCCTCAACGGCCTTCATGGCAATAGCTACCTCCTCCAGTTTCTCGACAACATCCCTAACTCCCTGATCTATCTTCGAGAAGTAGCGATCATTCGCTTCTCTTCTATTTCTCGCGAGAAGTATATCCCTCTCCGTCTCCTCCTCAAGCTTGGCGCCTAGTCGCTCGCGGCCCGTTCCGCTGCTGCCAGGTCGTGGTACGCTTCCGGTTCCAACCGTGCTCTTTCCACCTTCCGTTCCCTCCGCCGCCGTGCCTACCGCCTTTCCAGCGTTAGCCGATATCGTCGTGCTCAGACCCGTCCCGGCAGCAGCAGATACGCCCATCTCGCCCAAAGCGCCCTTCAGGTTCGTCGCCTCATTCTTCGTCGTCGTCGCCGTCGCCGTCGTCTCAATCGCGTCCTCAGCCTCGCCGCGCGCCCACGCCTGCGCCAGCCTGACCTGTGCCGCGCGCAGCTCGGCCAGCTTGCGGTCGTGCTCCGGGCCGAAGACGTGCGTGCCGCCGCTCGCCGACAGCTCGACCTCTTCCAGCGTCGCCTGCATCTCGGCCCACAGGGCGTCGGTCCTATCGGCGGTGCGGGCGGAGTCCGCGGTCTGCAGCCGCGAGACGGCGGCGCGGTTGCGCGGGCCCAGCAGCGAGCTCGTCCGCGCCAGGGACGGCGCTGCCTGCGATTGCTGCGTCGTGGATGCGGCGGCGCTGGCGCTCGCGTTCTCGCGCACGTTCGAGGCCGAGGCCGATGCGGGCGGCGCGGCGGGCGCCGCGGCCATCATACCTGAGAGGGAGACATGCGAGGCTGCTGGCGAGGGATGCAGGAAGAGGCGAGGAGGGTCGCGAGCTTTGGATTTGCTCGGTGTTAATTTGGGAAGATCCATCGCTACATCTTGATGTGTAATAGAAAACGGTACGGTTCGAAGTGAAAAAGTAGACTTCTTTAAATATCCGTAGCTTCCGCGAAGAAAGGGTACCCAGGGAGAAAGATGCCGTGATTGATGAATAGAGTATAAATATGACCTGTTGATGAATAGATCGACGTGTTGGAAACTGCGAAAAGCGCGATTGAGTCTTGTCCCGAGGTATAAGCCACACTTAAATGCGGCTCAGCCACCGGAGTGGGTTAAGGTTTGGTTGTGCTAATTCTCCACAATAATGGGGCCACCAAATGGCCGCTCAGACCAGTCTGACCAGTATCGAACTAGGGCGAGGAAACCCTTAAGCATTTTTGCACCTGTGAAAAAAAATTAACCGAGAGACTTTACATCCACCAACCACTAGTACTTCCATTCAAGCATCCAAGCAAGACCTTCAACTCAACCCATCTCAAAGCGATACCACATAACACATCGGTAAGTCAATTACCCTTTCACGATCGACGATCAACCTACCATCATTCAATCGACTGCGCTCCATTCGAAAAATATAAAATAAAAATCAATACCATATTCCTCTCATTCGATCACCTACTGACTGCGCAACCCCTCTACAGCCATCATGGGTAAAGGAAAGCCTCGTGGTCTCAACGCAGCCAGAAAGCTACGACTGCACCGAAAGGAGCAGAAGTGGGCGGATCTCGGATACAAGAAGCGCGCTCTCGGTACCGCATTCAAGTCCTCGCCGTTCGGTGGTTCCTCCCACGCCAAGGGCATCGTCCTCGAGAAGGTCGGTGTCGAAGCCAAGCAGCCCAACTCCGCTATCCGAAAGTGTGTCCGTGTACAACTCATCAAGAACGGCAAGAAGGTTACTGCTTTCGGTACGAATACCTTGATTGTTTTCTACATTTATTCTAGCCACGGGGAAAGGAATTCGAGAGGAAAAAGAAAAAAAAAAAAAGAAGGACGAAATTGGCTAACACGATCTCACTACAGTCCCCAACGACGGTTGCTTGAACTTCGTAGACGAGAACGACGAAGTCCTGCTCGCTGGTTTCGGTCGCAAGGGCAAGGCCAAGGGTGATATTCCCGGTGTGCGATTCAAGGTCGTCAAGGTCTCCGGTGTCGGTCTATTGGCCCTATGGAAGGAGAAGAAGGAGAAGCCCCGCTCGTAAGCGGTCGGCCGGGGACGAAGGAAATGGAGTAAAACGTGCAACGAGAGAAGGTTCATTGGGCATGCGGAGTCGATACGGCTTGCTTTGTTTCATCACGGCATCAGAGGTTCGGGCCTTGATACTCATTCACAGGTAGACGAGATCCACGAATAGAGATCGTAAGTCGCCAAAGCAAAATTTGATATCTTTCAGATGTTTTGTGATTGTGATATGCTCAACCCGTAGTTCTATACCTAAGCGGACGTTATAATCTACAGTTTTCCCAGCCAGCTTTTATCTATGATCCGGATGCCTATGCCAGAGTCTAGTATATATGTACAGACTCACCAGTACACTTTCAACTCTCTATTTTCCCTTCTTCCTTGTCGTCTTCGGCGTATCTCAGCAGGTAATCAACCCCAAGTCCGAGGCTGATCGCACCACCAGTAATCCAACATCCATTAACGAACCACCACCAACAATCCTTGACGCTCTTCAAGTTTACCCTCGTTATCATCCATCCCAAAGCCAGCGCGGCACCTCCGCAACTACCGACGAAGAAAGCCGGGCCCGCGCCCGCCGCCATGCCCGCCGCTCCGAGGAGACCGATCTGAACAACAGCCAGCCCCGTCAGAACTTTCTTCGTATCAGCATCGTGTTTGAGCGCAATACTCTTGATGCCCGCCTTCGCATCGTCCTTGATATCCATGTGCGCGTAAATCATATCGTACAGCACGGTCCAGGCCACATTACTCGCGTACAGCAGCGCGGCGGCGCTCATCGCCGAGCTATTGGCCAAAAGATCGACGCCTAAAGCCGGAAAACCCATGACGGCGCCCCAGGAGAAGGTCAGCCCCAAAACGAACTGCGGGTAGTACGTCACGCGCTTGGCGAGCGGGTAACAGGCGACGAAGATAAGGCTCGGCACGCCGTAGAATAGGCATGGCAAGGGAAACTGCAGGAGTACGCCCAACCCGGCGAGTAGCTGCGCGCCGGTGTACGCGAGCGCGGCGAAGGGCGTTAGGGCGCCGCGCGCGAGGGGCCGGTGTTGTGTGCGGCGCACGTGTTTGTCGAGGTGCCGGTCCCAGAGGTCGTTGATGGAGCACCCGGCGCCGCGCATGATCAGCGCGCCGGCGAAGAAGAGGGCCGTGGTGCCGAGGACGGAGAGAGGGGGTGCTGCTGGGACGGCGAGGGGCGCGGCCATGAGCGTGGAGAAGAGGCAGGGGAAGAACAGGTAGTATGTTCCCGTCGGCTTGTCGATGCGGATTAGCTCCCCGTAGGGCACCCAGGATTTGGGCAGGTGGGAGAGGATGCCGGATGTGGGGGGTGAGTAGGGCGCTGCTACGGAGGGGGAGGATGGGGAGTCGATGGTGTGGGTTTGCCGGTTTGGCGGGTGTGATGGTGAGTGCGAGGGAGCTGGGATTATGTGTCTTGGATTGGGGAGGCTGAGGGCTGTTGTGGTTGGTAGCAGCCTTTGGGGATGGTGTGAGATGGAGATGCCTCTAGAGATATTGCGAGATTGGCTTGATAGTCGCCATGAGTTTAGCAGTGTCGAGCCACGAGATAGTAGGCACTTCGTGCCAGTAGCGGCATTGAGCCGAGGCATTGTGCCCGGTATCGTTATAGACTTCTGAGACTTAATTAGCCAGCTGAGTCTCTGAGGTTTCGAGCTTTGGGTAACAACTAATGGAAAAGGGGATAATATAAAGCGGTCTCTTAAGATAACTTATATGCCATATTAAGTTTTCTGGAGTTAACTAATCCAATTGGACATAGCACATGATTGTGGTATACGAATCTTCAGGACTGAATTTCTCGATACTGCTCAAGAAATCCATGGTGTTGGTTTTTGAGTGAAGTCACTAGTACCTCATGTATATGAATAATGGCGAGAAATGAGCGTTTACCTCTCGAATCCGGAATTTAACCTGTCACCTGAAACCCTCAGCTACATCTCCCCAGTTAGAAACAATGGCTTGCTCAAAGTCGTTTTCGAGAAATTGTTCTAAAGTCATTATCAAAAAATCAATTTTATGTAAGCTCAAATCCGAGCTGCCGGGATCCATCCTAGCCGGAGCTTTCTAGCTCCAACGGCATTGGTGGGGTAGATATAGTGGGGTAAATGTAGTAGACTTGTACCTAAGTATCTTTAATTGTCGTCTGTCAGTTATTGCCATAGCTCTTTCCTGGCGCGGTTCCCGTCATCGCATTTTCTTTTTTGTCACAGCTGTGAATTAATTTTTCGTCACAATTTCTCAGCTCAGTCCCAAGCAAGTTAATAAAGTTAATAATGTCGGCATTCGAATTCTTCTTCGTAATAAGTACCCAAACACCGGATAGATTGAGTCATCACCAACTGATACTGTCTTCAACGCGAACTACGTAGAGGCGCGTCTAGAGGCAATCGTCGCCATCTTCACGAACCCCGCTGTCGGCTGTTAACTATCGATGGACGATTTCAATCTGCAACTCAACTTCCACAACGTTACTTCTAGGATTGTAATACGTTGCTAAGATGCCGACCGCATTACATCCCCAAGCCAAATTCGATCCCATACCTCCAGATCTCGACCTCCACGCACTCGTCGATCGCACTCCAAACTTCGACTGGGTCGTGCGCATCTCTACTACCCAAATTAGGCGCCTCGGTCCCTCCGGCTTTGAGAAGCTAGTTCAGTTACATGTCATCGAGGGGGGTCGACCGTTGGTCATAGAAGGATGGAATAAGGTTCTTCCAGATGATCTATTCAGCGCAGCATGGCTGGAGAAAACATACGACAAGAAACGTAAGTCCTACCCCTATTGCGAAGTGCGTTCACATATACTCATATGTATTGGCAGAGGAAAATGTTCGCGACATAGGTGCACAAGCCGATATCCCAATGACCACGGGTCATTACTTGCGATCCATGCGACAGCTGACCAAGCAATGGACCCCTACTAATTACCGTGATGAGAGGCGACAGCGCCTTTACTTGAAAGACATAGATTGCCCTCCCGAGTGGTACGATCATCTAAAGAAAGTCATCCCCCCGAACGTTTTTTATATGAACGACAACATCAGCGAGAACCCAGGCGCAGACGCTCGAAACGACGACATCTTTGGCGCACCAGAGAAGACACCTGCTGTGGCGGGTGATCTAATGAGTAGCCTTCCGGAGGAAATGCGTGCGCAGAATCTCATGTGCTATATCGGGCATGAAGGCACGTACACCCCTGCGCATCGAGAGATGTGTGCGAGCTTGGGTCAGAACATTATGGTCGAAGCTTCTGGAGATAGGCATGGAGAGAAACCTGGCAGCTCTATCTGGTTTATGACCGAGACGAAGGATCGCGAAGTCATTAGAGAGTATTTCCTCTCCATGCTCGGCCATGACATCGAGATCGAGAAACATTTCGCGCAAATCAATGCTTGGAAGAAAGCCAATTTCCCCGTCTACGTCGTCGAGCAAAAGGTTGGCGATTTCATTCTGATACCTCCCCTGGCGCCTCATCAGGTTTGGAATCGTGGAACGAGGACTATGAAAGTCGCATGGAATAGGACTACAGTTGAAACTCTCGACTTGGCCCTTCATGAGGCCTTACCAAAGGCGCGACTAGTGTGCCGAGATGAGCAGTACAAAAACAAGGCCATCATTTACTATACTCTAGAAAAATACTACAAGGAACTTCAGGCGTCTGAGGAGAATGCCGAAGTGGGATGGTTAGGTCTCGGCCAAGAGTTAATGCAAAATTCGGCACGCATAAGACAAATGGCTCATGACTTCAAACACTTATTTGGTCTCTTCACTGAGATACTCGTTGACGAGATGTTTGGTTACAAGCAGAACAATGTTGAGTTCATCCCGTTTGACTCGAACATTACGTGCTCATATTGTCGATCCAACATCTTCAATCGCTTCCTAACTTGCAAATGCTGTGTGCGCACACTAATTAATGGGGATGAGGACACTTACGACATTTGTATGGAATGTTATGCTATGGGTCGCTCGTGCGTCTGTATCTCTGGCCTTCAATGGTGCGAGCAGTGGAAATGGTCCGATCTCATTGAGAAACATGAGACGTGGAGGGCCATGGTGATACAACAAGATGGTTATGTTGATATCAATTTATCTCCTCAACCCATCGAAATTGCGCGGAAGAAAACAGGCAAGAAATCGGTGGCGCAAATTGCGCAAGAGCAACTTCGAAGGAGACCTTGGAACGATATCACGAAACCACCGGAGCCTCAAGCTGAAGAGTCCGAACCCGAAGTTGATGATGAGGGCCGCGTCAAGAAAAAGTCGCGATCGAGACGAAAAGCTAAGAAAGGCGACGTATATCGTTGTCACGTATGTTGCCACAAAGACTACACGTATAAGCTGAATTTTTGCACAACCTGCCAAAATGCGTACTGCTATGGCGTTTTATGGAGAGCATTTGATATGATGCCTCAAACAGCTATGGAGATAGAGCACTGGCAGTGTCCCAAGTGTCTCAATATCTGCAATTGTGGGACGTGTAGACAGGGTGGTAGCACAGTTCCATACGTTCCAAAGAGTACGCTCCTTGGCCATGATACGCGTCCGATCGCAGATGATCGTAGCGTCGAATCAATCGTTGACTTCCGACAACACAACCTGAGCTGGCTGAAAGCTGCCGGGGAAGAGAATCGGAGCAAAGATACGAGGCGCATGCAACGATTGAAGCAGCAGGCAGATGCTGCAAAAGCCAATGATCCATTAGCGTCATTGGAAGCCGCGGACGATGCCCCTCATGACATGGACACGGCTCTCCAAGATTCAGCCATTAATGGTTATGGGGATGAAGATCGTGCAGTCCTACAGCTTGCCAACGCTGTTGCTGTCAATGAGCCTGGAAATGGCCATGCACCAGCTGCTGATGTACCGGACCATGAGAATCAACCAGAAAATCATTTTGTGGACGCTGACATGTCCGGTATTCAGAATGGTGAAGGAGACTCATCTTACCCAGATCCATCTCAGTATGGTGATCCATCAGTACCTGGAGTCAGCCGCGAACGTATGATGGGATTAGGATTCTACGATCAAGATGAGAGTGCAGACAAGATTTTGTTTGAATCATTCCAAATGCCTACTGCCGATGTTCTCAATAATGAGCCGGAAATATCCGACTTTGTCAAGAAGACCCTTCGACTAGCCAAGAGAAAGGCAAGGCTTGAGATAAACGACGATCCCGATTTTAGGGGTCCCAGAAGCCAGCCGCGCAAGAAACCTAGGACTGGAAATATTGATCAACTCGTCAACTTAGATCCGGCATTACTTGGTTCTCTTGGCAGTGGCAATGGCATTTCTACGCCAACGAGAGTGACCGCTCCGAACGACCACAGCGAACAGCCAGTTATTGAGGGCGCAGAAGCGCAATCTGAAGTAGCTGAAGGAACCCCTGTGTCTGTTCCCCCGCCTAAAAAGATAAGGCCGCGTCTCCCTGCTGATCCCTTGCGGCCTACCTTACGACACGCAAAACCGATGGTGTCATACGTGGATGCAGAAGAGCCCGCTGAGGATCCAGATGATCGTGTCCTTATTAGAGCTCTGAGAAACCTCGAATCAGAAAACGAGGATAACGCCCCAGAAGAGGAAATAAACCCTGTGGATTTGGCAGCCGACGCAATGAGGGCCTTGACGCAGCTTCCAGTACACGAGGGAGAAAGCTCGGCGACTGCTAAAAGTACCCCGCAGCCTGGAGCCAAAAGGCGAGGACGGCCACCCCGAAGCTCCATTGGAACAGCCGTCACCCCGTCCTCAGTTCCATCTACAGGTAAGAAACGTGGTCGCCCACCGGGACGCCCAGGGAAATCTACAATTAACGGCGCCGAGAATGAAGACATCACTATGGTAGATGCTGGTGTATCTGACGCTCACAATGCTCCCGCGGCCACCGATACTCCTAATGTTACTCAGAATGAGAACGAGGTTAGCGTAGAGGAACTTGAAGCTCAACTAGAGCGAGAGGAGCGAGAGTTGGCTGAGGCAAATCGGGACGTAGAGGACTCGCGACCAACTACAGCCACCTCAGCGACACTACCTCGCGAAGAGCCCTTAAAAAGACGAGGTCGACCTCCAAGACGATCCCGCGCACAACAATCACCTATAACACCAAACCCCGTCGACCTAGAACCGCCTCCGGACACACGCTTCATGTCCATGAGAGAACGAGCGGCTCTAAGGGGTAAGAAGTTCAAGATAGGACAACGCCGGCCAAGAGATACTGCAACGGGAAGCCCCGCTACGACATCGGCCAAAGGAACTCCTACGACTACGGCTGCACAGGCCAAAAAAGATAAACCCATACCCGAATCTAACGTCGTTGAGGAACCTGCTAGGCCAACTCCCAAGAACGGTCGCCCAGAGCTGGTGGACGATAATTTCGAGCCTGCTGTTGTGGAGATCGAGGATTCGTCTTCGCCTAGTCCCACGCCAGAACGTGATGTTCCGCCACAGCCGCGGCCTGTTAGGAGGTCGGGCGGCCCGACAGTCGTCAGGCTGGATTTCTCGGACGATAGTGTTCCGGAAGACTCGGGGAGCGATGACGACAGCGACGGCGATGTTCCGGCTAAACCTCGTTACACGGCAACACGCGGCGGTCGGGGAGGTGCAAGAGGGAGAGGAAGGGGTAGGGGCAGAGGTAGGGCGCGAGGCCGCGTCTGAATACGTACTCAAGCTATGAGATTACGGAACGGTTCGAGATGGAAGCAATGGAAACTGTACTTACGGCGTTGGCTCCTTCGGGCGGCGTATATTGTGCGTATGGTTTTAAAGGTGTGTTATTTTGTTGGGCATGATTCCCTCAACTTCTTTTCCGCCGTGGCGCTCGACGGCGTTCTTTCGCCCCCTTTTTTATGGGGTCTATAGTATATTGCTGAATACCCAAAATGCTATTTACATTTAATTATTATGCCTGTGATAGTTGTAGAAGAATTATTCAAGTCGAGGATTCCCTCTTAGATTGTTCTCGTGGGTTATAATTCAATGTTCCCGATTAGAATCATCTTTACAAACGACTCTAGACGCCTTCTTCTTAGTTTCTTCCGCCCATCCTCTTTTAATTGCGTTTCTTTTTAAATAAATCCCGATAAACTTGTATTTCATTTAACTCAGCTCTTCAAGTCAGGCTTCACAATGTAGTTGACATCGTTCATTCTCCCCCATTTCCTAATGATGTTTTGCTTCCCCATATGATTACCTATATTATGGGGTATTATTTGCCGGTATTTTGCACCACGCTATATGACCCAAGTATTTTTAGTTTACTCGGTAACACCATCACTCTCCCTGCGAGCCCTTCAGGATTCTATACCCGGGGCTCTATAGTTGATTTAGCGTGACACTATTTTGACGGCATATGTTTCGGACATATAAAATGTCCCGATACCCCAATACCTGTTCAAGATAGCTTCATACGGATATATCAAGGTATCCTCGAGACGAATGACGAACAAGATGTTAAACATCATAATTTACAACTGATTGGCCCTTGTATTTCCTACTTGATAATTACCTCTCCTAATAATTTCAATATTACCTGCGTAAATTCAGAGTACGAACTCTTGGTTCCTACTTAAGGGTTACTGATATCCTATATCTAGGATATTTTGTTGAAAAACACTCGTACCTACAGGTAGCCATCTAGTATCAGGTAGGTACCTATTAATTGAATAGCGTTGCATCAGCTGTTCAAAATGTGAACATCTAAGTACCGGCAATCCGGTAAGTATCACGTAAGGACGGTAGTTTGAGATAGCATGTGGCGAGGTTGTAATGTTGTACTTGGAGAACCATCTGTGCGGATGTGATCGAGACATGTTCTGGCTCACAAAGAAGCACGGCAGTTATATTATATAGGTAACAAAACGTCGAATTGATTCTCAGCTGTAGCTCGCTAACGTAGGAATACTAGTGGCTCTTCAGGGGCCACCTAGCTGATTCAACTCCCTGTTCCGATACAATATTCCATGTAAGCATTCGATCATCCAAGACGACGCGAATAAAGTTATTGGAAAGCAAATAGGAGTCATGTGTCTTTATTATCGGCGTTAAGACATTAAAACCAAGTTTCAAAAGGACCATTGCTTGGGGAACGGGGTAAAATAACGATAGTCCTCGGTAACAGGGCTTCGGCTATACTAATAAGCATCCCTCCACATACTGGGATGTTCTCATCATGCCTATTATGGAATGTGTAATACGACCCCAGGTTATCAACTACTTCCCCGCGATTTAAGAGATGGGGGTGGTCGAGAATCCCCCGAAACCTTGGCTGGGGAATTTGCGATCGTTGACTTATGTGAGATGTGACCGCGAAAACGCGAAGACGCAATCTCGAACAAATAGCAGAAGATAGAAGGTCGTGTAACGTTCATATACGACTGACGATACATCGGCCCGCATCGCCCCTTGTGTTATTGACATCCTCTCTCTTTCATCCTCTTGGCTTCCCAAGCACCTGGTACAGCTGAATTAAAAGAAAAAAAAAAGATGGCGTCAGAAGCCGCCGCGCAGAGTAAAGACCACCACCTCCTGCATAGTCACGCGCACGAGGAAGACATTCCAGGGACCGTGAATCTGAAAGCCGCTGGTACGTTGCCCAAAGAAGCCTCTTCAAACCCAGTGAATATTACCTAAACTCCGCTCTGGATACTAACATGAGTACACGTAAAAGAGGGCGACGATGTCGCGTACGGGCAAGCCCTCTTCCCGGTTCCGGCCGAGGATCCCAACGACCCGTTGCAGTGGTCCAATTTCAAGAAGACGATGATCCTGATCATCTGCTCTTTTTATTCCTTTCTAGCGAACTCCTCGCTCATCGGCCCCTCTCCGTACATCGACCTTTGGGCCGAGGAGTTCGGGATATCGACGACCAAGGCCTCCGAATTGGTCTCTTACCCTAATCTGGCGTTTGGCTTTGGTATGTGTCGCCGCCTTCGAGAGTCGAGTGAACGCTAGTAGAGAAGTTGTGTGTGTGCTAATGCGAGAAAGGCTCCTTGATCTTCGTGCCCATGTACTTGAAGTACGGTCGCCGACCTGTAATGCTGTTTTCTCTCGTTTCGGTAAGACGCGCCAGAATCTTAAATCCCCGAAGCAGAGGTTCTAATGTGTAATAGTTTGCCGCAGGCTTGATAGGAGCATCTCGATGTACCACGTACGGCGGGCTTCTTGCTGCGAGGATAGTTCATGGATTCGGTTCTTGCGGTAGGTAAATTTGAGTCTTCCCCCTTTCTGACTCGTCTTGAGGGTTAGAACTTTCCTCTTGGATGGACTAATCCACAGCCCTCGAGATATGTTTCAAGTATCTGAACATTTCAGCTGCGTAGAAATTTCCTAACTCAGTAATAGTTTGCGAGGCCTTACCCGTTCAATTAGTGAATGACATATTCTTCCTGCATGAAAGGGGGAAGAGAATCGGATACTATACAGGTATAGCGAGTCCAGGATTAGCCTTTACCCAATCTGTATCTAACTTCCAATAGTCTGCTTATGTCTCGGAACCTTTGGATCGCTTCCAGCTGGATACATGCTGGCTGGTGGTTATGGCTGGAGACTGTTCTTCTACGTGGAGTTTGCGTTCGCGATGGCGCTTCTCATCCTAGCTTTCTTCTTTGTTGAGGAAACATCCTATAATCGGAAGGCCTTCACATACCCTTCGACGCCGCCAAACGATACAGAGAAGGAGGGAGTCTCGGAAATTGAAAAGGGGTCTCAACATGCTGACCTAGTTGTCCCTCCTCGTAAAAGTCTCTTGCAGACACTAAGCCTGTGGGGAAGGGTCGACAACGACGTACCCTTCTTCAAGACAATGATTCGCTCGTTCACTTACTTCCGTACGTAGCATCAGGGGATCTCGTCTCTGGGTCTGTATTGCGGCTGACTGGTAATTTAGTTGTACCGCAATCCTTGTGGGTAATTACTACTTTTGGAATCAATGGTGAGTGATGAAGTATCCCGATCTGAAATGCGCTTCCCTTCATTTTACATCACCCGCGGTATCCTATTCTTTTCCTTGGGGCTAACAGGTTTCCAGTATGTTACGTTACAGTCCATTGTCCCGTCATCTCGATCTGTTCATCTATCGAAGCTTGAAAATATAGTTATTGGAGTAGTATCAAGGCCTGGTTCGTGTAGAGTGCTAACAGCCAGCAGATTGGTCTTTCGGCCTTGGCCTTCTCTTACACATTCCCAATTTTGATCGTTTCGCCACCCTATAATTGGGCCGTCGTAAGTCATCCTTCGTGGTAACATCATTCCGGCGCCTATGCAGCTCCTAATCTATACGTAGACAAACTCTGGACTTTTTGCTATTGCTGCGGTGGTGGGCTACGGGTTGGCCGTTCCTTTTACATCAAGTTCAGATAGACTAGCCGCGTACTTCACCAAACGTAACAACGGTATCCGAGAAGCCGAGATGCGTCTAGGTGTGATGCTGCCGGCAATGCTAATTGGGCCGGCTGGAATTGTTCTCTACGGTCTTACCGCGGAAAGGGGTCTGCATTGGATATGCTTCTTTGTGGGTGGAGCCATGAACTATTGGGCTGCGTACTTCTACTTCTCTTTCACGCTTGCATATGCCGTAGATTCCTACTACGCTAACACATCTGAGATGCTGATTGCCATGAACATCGGCAAGCAAGCCATCAGCTTCGGACTCGGATTAAAAGTGCTAGCGTGGGTATTGGAGAGCGGCTACGCTGTCGTCATCTCGGGAGCCTTTGGAGGCGTACTACTTCTAAATAATCTCTTCCTCCTGTTTTTCATGATCTGGGGTAAGAAGCTGCGGAAGTACCTGTCAGAAACGTGGCTGGCTAGGTTGCATTTCCGAAGCATTCGGGAGGTTACAACCCATTAAATGTAGAACGTGGACAGCTGGAAGACGGGGCACAGCGATCAACATTAGGGGCAAATTTATCTCCTAGAACCAACATATCTTCAACCATGAATACGGGAAGAGGGAAACGCGTGGAGAATCTAACTAGTTGAGATTTGTTTACCAAGGAAACTAGCAATTCTAGAAATTTTGAATAGCCCTATGCTGGGGAGTCGTACGATCTTCGTTGGCCAGCCTTCCAAAAAACCAACTGCTGAGCTTAAAGCCTAGGAACCAAACTAATGCAGCTCATACAGGTGGCGGATTCAGCGGAAGCGTTAATGGGCTCCGCGCGGCCCCAACGGTCCGCAGCGCACAGAATTCCCGCCCCTTTACCGCTGGGGCCGGTCAATATTGTTGAGTATGATTGTGTGTTCACCGACGAATTGATACCTGTTATAGGAGATTACACGGAGGGAAACTTGTATTTCGTTTCAATGTGACCAGGAGGCGAATAAGGTCATTTGCTGTCAACTTCATACCTTAGCGGCTGGGACACTCTCGCTTTCCAAGGCTTCCGAGAGGCGCGTAATAAATCAACTTCTTTGACATGACGTCTTCCTGCGTTCGCGTACATGCTGAAGTTGTTCCTCGGAATAATTCCTACGTCCCGTTCCATACCGCTCTTGCATAAGAAGCTTGTTAGCTGAATTTAGGTAGTCAGTTGGATCAGTCACGTAGCATGTTAGTTGACAATACAAGGATAATCTGCATGGCTTACGGTATGCAGTCGGCACTAATTACAATGGAGAACGGAACTTCAGATGAAAAGATTGCTTGGGACCCATAGGGGCCTGGAAATTCTCCGCGCCTCTAAGCAAAAAGACCCCTGGGACTAGGTATCGTTGGAATTGATTCACTGCGATGGCACATAACATTGGGGTATGCGTTTATTCTCAAGAAAATACCACAGTAGTAAGCTGAAACTATTAACATTATTTCAAGTGAATTCTCATTAAACCCCAATTCCTTATTACGAGAAAGATGGAAATATCTTTGGGCGGACCACATATAATGGTGTGATTGTCGATACAGACTCGGGCCTAGAATCCGAGTACGCCAGTACGCCGCCTTCAGATCTGGCTCAGGCACAGGATCGTGGATCTAGCTTTATTCCACCTAGATCTGTCAGTGGAGAACTTTATTTATTAATGGACCTGTCAAAGTCCGCCACTGTCAAAACGCCGGCATGATGCAGTGTGACGGTTCCCGATTCGGCAATGAAGCATTAGCTGCGGCAGTCATCGAATCAAACGTTGAGGCTCAAGCCACAAGCAATTTAAAGCCTTAGAGCTGATCATGGGCGTCCAGTCATTACGGAATGGTATTTCATAATAGGTAAACAGGGCTGGGGCCTTTGCGGGGATTGCATATTCGCCGTCTAAGTGGCTGGCCCACCCTAGCTAGGCACACACACACGTATGTACATACGCGTTGTACAGGAAAATAAGAAGGGTGATTGCATGAAGAATTTTTGTGTGTGAAGAGAGATGAGCCAAGCTTTCCCGTGAAACATGAGATGTAGGGTTCGCGGGAGAGGCTTGCATAAAACGTCAAATACCGAAACATATAATATGACAGAGTTCAATTTGAACCTGATATCATGTCAGTAACATGAGGTTTTGAAAAACGAATACGCGTAATTTGAAAATGAGATATCCTATTTTGTGTGCTAGTCCATCCCTAATAGCGGAGCCTCGTATAGGCAATTCAGGACAGCCAAGAGGGAACGGTGTAGGTAATGTCGTGACGAAAAGGCATTCTGCCAGTTGTGTTGTCCTGAGCCCTGGTCTGCTTACGTATGTTAAAAGAGCGGCATGAATGGAACAGAAAAAACAGCCTTCGACGTCACCTGCGAAGGCTATTAAATTAATCAACCAAAGTTGAAAAGCGTACGATTGCAACATTGCGTTGTCATCGTGCTTGAGTCTGATTGGCTGCTTGGTACCAGGAGCTTAAGCTTACCTTCTTGGGAACAACTCTTCCAACTTGGTGCTGCTGTCGATCTATTCCCTTGTTGAGTAACGGAGCTGGTCCCGTCAGGCTCTCGAATCTCTAACTACCCTTGTGTCCTGCATTCAGCTCTTGAGCTCCTTCGAAATTGAATGCCGCTATAGCGATGTTTGGTTCACAGAGATGGACCTGATAGGCGCATCGCTCTCACCTCCTTTCGATACGGTCCATGCTTGAACATGGGAAGCTATTCCCACAGCCCGACGTTGCATCCTGGTGCTGTCAATCTCAACCACTCAACCAAAAACTTGAATGGGCCTTCTTGAGAAGCCTGGGCCATCAGATGTCCTGGTCATGAACGGAGAAGACAGCCCGGAGGAAGGTTGGTTTTCGAGTATAAGAATCTGTTGTCTTCCTGTCTCATCTGGACTTTTTTTCCTCCATCACCACCACCATCAACAGCATCAATCTTCCAAGTCAGCCCTCACTTCTGTCTCTTGCACCATCCGCCGAATCTCAAGGTTCAAAATAATCCAACACTACCATCAAAATGCAGTTCACTACCGCCATCGTTGCCTTCATGGCCACCGCCGTCATGGCTACCCCCGGCTACGCTGGTGATGGCAGCTACGTTGCCTGCAACCCCGGCCTCTACAGCAACCCCCAGTGCTGCGCTACTGATGTTCTTGGTGTTGCCGACCTTAACTGCGCGACTCGTAAGATTCCCTGAAACCTAGAATCGGAAAATCGAATATCTGCTAACATAGTTCCACTCTAGCCTCCACGGAGCTCACCAGCGCTACCCAGTTCAAGGCTGCCTGCGCTGCCATTGGCCAGCAAGCTCGCTGCTGTGTCATCCCTGTCGTAAGTAACAGTAACTTCCTACATCTGCCACACGCACGAACTAACAACATCTACAGGCTGGACAGGATGTTCTCTGCCAGACTCCCGTCGGCATCTAAGTGGTGGTCTTAGGGCGATGACGGAAGGCTCTTGGTGAAGAACGACAATCTTGGGACAGAAAGCTACCTCGCTATCCAAATACATCGCGACCCGCCTTCGGTGTAATTAACAGAATGGGCCGCGGTCATAGGAGGTGCAATGATGCAGTTGTGATGGGTTGTCTTTCAAGCTTGTCTTCTCTTCTCGGTATCTACATTGCATAATATTAGCGTCTAGTAATATCAAGCGCTCAACCCCCCAAAATTCTTCACTTAGCCTTTGTCATTTGTGAAATATGTTACCTACTCATTCAATTTTGTGTGAACTGACTTGATTACCTCGGTATCTACGGAGTAGGTATTTACCCCTTTCCCCGTAAATACGTAGGGCGGTGTACTATGCCAAGTCTATTCGTACCCATTCATTGTCTGCTTACGTATACCAGCCATGAATTTGAAGGAATCGGCGAGTAGTACTTACCTACTCATGTTTGCGGATTTTGCTATGTACTTACCTAAGCACGAGGAATAAAAAACTTCATTGATATGCGATTCATTTTTGTGCTGCGCTTTCTCCGTAGTTCCGAAGGAATGGTTCCGGCGGGTACTGCCGGAGTCGGTCCACACTAGGTAGGTAGCGATAGTCTGTCTCCGCAAAATCTCGCCTCCCTTTCAGGCTTGTTCCTTCCTTTTCGGGAACATTACCACGCAGCCACGCAGCCACATCCCCGGTAGCCGGGACACCTCCTTCTGGATTCGGTCTTGAGACAGATACTGGAAGGTGCGGAGCATACCTGATCCATTAATTGGCAACATTGTCGTGCGGCCGCCGGACTGGAAGGTGGATACTTGGCCTTGTTGAAAACTTCGGTATCCCAGCGTAAATCAGTTGCCCCACGGCTACGGGGCAAACAATACTTCAGTGGGTAACCGGTAGATAACTTATTTCAGCCTTGAGATTGCTTAGGGCGCAGCCATTTCTACGGAAATAGAGTACTGCAGTATTGGGCCCTCATTTAAGAACTACGGACCACACATGATTACTTTAAGCTGAGTGCCTATACGGGAACCATCTTGGAGAGACATCTGGGATTCTTAATCTGTCGGGTACTATGAACAATGGCGAAAGCCAGGTAACGTCTCATCCTCAATAACTTCCAGGTCGTCAACTTTAGCTATCCTTCCACGTGCAAGAGCATCCATCGAAATGGCATTCGGCGATAAGCCAATCATCTCCCCAACGCCCATGGCAAGATCACCAATGACATGACCGGGAAAAAACACACAATAGAGAAACATAGAAAAGAAAGAGAATGGAAATTTCTCAAGTGGTATCTCAGGTAACAAAAAGCCTGCTACGCCTAGCTAAAGCTCTCCGCCCGGCACCTCGTGTGCCGCGGCGTCGAGGGGAAATGATAACGTGAAGGTAAAAGGTTCCAACAAGGGACATTGCTTGCGCAATGTCATTCCATAAACACATCCTAGCTGTGATTCGTTCGTATCCCGTTCAGATCGTTCGTGTTTGTCTGCGGTGGAAGATGTAGGGTGGTTGATTAAGTGTTAAAAGGTTGTGAGGTATGGTTTCTGGCTTTTTTTGCCAGTAAAATCGCCATAAGCAACTCGGGATATGAACAAGTTCGACATCCCGAGCAGAAAAGGGCTATGAGACTCCTTAAACTCCTTGCCAAATATGCTGCATGTGCTCGAAAAGGGCGGTAAAGCAGAACTCCGGATAATCAAGGTGGCGGGCCAACCGAGGGTGGAGTAAAAGGTACGCAATAATAACAGCAAGACATATAAGAAAGGCTGCTAAAAGCATCCCACACCAACCCCGCGACTAAAAGCAGTTGAGGCTGCCCTTCTTCTTTTTCTTGTTGTTAATTGCATTCATACGTTCCTCAAGGTGGGTTCTCGCCCTTTCAGCGTCTTGCCGTTTCTTGCGTTCCTCCTCAATCTGGTGAAGACTGTCGCGCCAACGGTTGTCTTGTTGAGGGCGTTCCTTGAGCTCTTTGACTTCTTTCTCAAGCTCTTGCGCACGCTTTCGCCAGGCCTCACTATCGGCCTTGCTCTTCTTGGATTGGTTCTCCAAATCGGTGAGAGCTTCTTCCAAGGTGGCAGTTAATTGTCTCTCGGCCTTTAGGTGCCTCTCGATGCTCTGGATCCTAGCTTCCTGATCTTCCCGGATTTGGGCTAAGGCAAGGTCGTGACTAGTGGGCCGACCACCAGTGGGCGTCGGCGGCACACCCTGTGTTGGAGACGCCGCACCAGCAGGCGGTAGAGGAGGGAGGGGAATAGCGGGGGGTGGAGACGGCAAAGAGACGACAGATGCCGTCTTACGGACCTGCGAGCTCGTTGAGCCGGTTCTCTTCGGCGTATCACCATTTGCAACCTCATCGAGACGAGCCTAATGAAACGTTAGTTGAAATTGAAGCGATATGTGAAGAGGCAACTCTTACCTGGAGGGCAGACATCTCGTCCCGAAGGGTGTCCAGTTCTGCTTGTGCCTTAATTCTAGCTGCATTAGCTTCCTCCAATTGCATGTTACGCTCTGTTTGGAGCGTAGACAATCGGTTATTTGTAAGCTGAGCTTGGTCGTAGTTGGTCTGGAGCTGATCTTCCAACTCTTCCACTAGACGAGAATGCTTCTTGTTCTTATTCTCAAGGTCTGCCATCCTCTTCTTAACTGCTGTCAGCTGCTCCAAAACAGAGGGGTATGGGCTCTTCAAGCTCTCGCCGTCTGAGTGAAGCATGTCGTTAAGCGAAGACTTTACAGCCTCAAGATCGCGCATGATGGTGTTATTGATAGCGGAAAGCTCTTCAATGTGACCTTCAAGCTCGACTGATTTCTGCTGTTCGATAGCTAGAGCTTTCTGGTCTGCTATCAGGTACTCGATACGTTCACTAATCTTTTCGAGGCTAACATCGAGGCCTAGGGCGAAAGCCACTTGAGTAGCGATCTTCATAAGTTCGTCGCGAGCTTCAGCAACATCACTTTCTAGCAATTTGATGTTTTCGGCGTGCTCTAGCATGAGTTCATTGACTTGAGCGTCATACTCTTCCTTGGAGCTAGTGCTAATTGCGTTGAGTTCCCTGGCATGGTCCTCGTGTAACTGAGCTAGGCTCTCTTCGTGTGCCTTCAAGGCTTCCTGGTGCTCTGTAATCTGGGTTTCGAGGCGAGTAACAAGTTGTTGGTAGCTTAGAGACTCGGTAGATGCAATATCGCGCGCCTTGGAGGCTTCTTCGAGCTGCTCCTTTGCTAGAGCATGCGCTTGTTCTAGTTGGGCCACCTTAGTCGCATTGCCGCCAATGATTGTCTTAAGCTCGTTGATCTCGTTACGGAGTGAAGTGATGAGATTCTGGTGCTTGGTTTCCACCTCCTTTGACTCCTCATCTGTCTTTGCGTGTTCTTGAGACTCATTAAGCTTTCCATTAACAAATGCGATTTCTGCCTCAAATTCACTAATGGTCTTCTGCATCTGTTCCTCGGCAGACTGCAATGCATCTAGAGCAGATTGGTGTTTATCTTGCCAGGTCGAGAGTTCGGCCTGAAGATGCGCAATCTTCTCTTCCTGAGCAGCACGTAGCTCATCGTCTTGGCTACTACGGTCCTCGGCCTGCGGTAGCGACATCCACTCGGCTTTACCAGTGGCGCTAATAGATGCTCGCAAGGCTTCTAGTTCGGAAACAAGCTCCTGTTCGCGAGTGTCGTGAGCTTCCTTCATTCCTTGGATCTGTTGCTCATTCCTCTCCAGCTGTTCTCTCAATGCGGCAACCATGGACATGTCCATGGGACTCGACTTCAAGCTAGATCGTTCGCGCGTTAGTCCCGTGATAATTGTCATCTTGGTTTCCATTTCCTTCTTGGCGGTCGCAACATCGGCCTCCAACTCCTGAATGCGTTCAGACCTAACGTGTAACTCGTGCATAGCGGCGTTAAGGTTAAGATCGAAATTCTGCATGATATCAGGTTGTTGCTCGAAGTTCTCGGCGGCGATGTTTCGGAGCGTTGCGAAAGATCGATGGGCCCTGTCAATAACTAGGACGTTTTGACTAGACTTCCGGCGTATCACTGGTGTGGCCATCCTTGGAGATGGTGGCTCCGCGTATTTCGCCTTCGCAACTTCGGTCTTGAGCTCCTCAACCATATCTAGCGTCTCCAGATGCTTTTCCTCTAATTGAGCATACCTGTCTGCGAGTTCTTTTTCGGCAGCCTGTTTCTCATCTGCTAATACTTTCAGTCTTTCTAACTCAGCAGCTAGAGCCTCACTGTTATCACTGCTAGCCGTTCCCGTCACAAGCGTCTCTCGAGACTCGGAAGGCTTATGGGTCTCGATCACCGGAGTATCTACAGTAGTAGGGGAGTCCATAGCTGAGGATAATTCCGAGGAGAGCGATCGCGATAATAACGTTGTATCTTTGATGTCGCTCGACCTCACATCGGATAAAAAACTCGACGGCCTCGTCTGGTTAGGAGAAGTAATTGATAGGAGCGAATCGCGGTGGCGGTTTGGATGCCGCGCCTCGTCGACCTGGTCTTGCAGTTCCGCTAACGTCCGCAACGCCTCTTCATACTTAGCATGAAGCATGTCGTACTGGTTAACTGTCGACTCATGTTCAACTCGCAGAGAAACCAATTCTTCGGTTACACTTTCGAGCTTGTCGGCAACGAACTTGGTTTGAGCGGGGCTTTGGGGCGGATAGTCGGTATCTGGCATAGTCTCCCCTAGATTTTCGCCCGGCGTCCGAGGCACCTCATGATCACCAGCATCCCCTTCAGGTTGGACATGCTCACTAACTTCTTCCTCGGTACCTTCGGCCACTTCGGGAAGGACACCTCTAACACCTAAACTGGGCCGACTCGAGTGGCTCTTGTGCGATCGCTCCGAGAAAGTACGACGATGTCCGATGCCATTGCTATGCTCGGATTGGGTATCGGACTGCTTGCCGTCCTGGTGGATGTGATCCAATTCGTGGAGAAGATTGTCAAGCTTTCCGAGACTTCGTTGGCGTTCGATAACCTGCTCAAGACGATCAATTTCGCGCTGCATCAGTTCCTGGTCCTGGTCAGACTCCGCAAGTCTTTCCTCAAGGGTGGAAATGTATTCCTCGGCGGCGGCTTCATTTTCTCTGATTCGAGCGATCTCCTTCCGTAATTCCAGA